TAATATCTTTTCTGTCACAAGCACACACAACTACAAGAATCTGTCATTTCTGCGACAAGAAAATTATGTCGCGGATATTTCAAATCCGTAGCAGAATCCATATTAGCGACGACTCTGCGACCAAATCCGTCCGTCGCAAATTTGTCGTCACCCGACCGACTTCTACGACGGAAACACAGTGTCGTCGCAGATTTAGCGACACACACTGCGACGGAAAAGGGAGCCTAAAAAATTGCGAAAACCTGCGACGGGTGGACATTTCGTCGTAGATTTGCGGCGAAGTTTGCGACAGCTACTTGGCAATGCATGGAAGGTCTAATATACGACGGAAACAGTGTAAGTCGTTGTTTCGTCGCAGATATGTGATTTTAAAGAGGCAGTCCCTGGTTTTTTTTGGACAACAGCTATTTAAAAAAACAAATATGGTGAAATACCAAATGGGATCCATTCACAGGGAAGAGAGTTCACATGGGGTGGAACAACAAAGAACACATCCTCAATAAAACCAGAATCAAATTTTAAATATAAGTGTCAAACAAATTCCACATCGTAAAGTAGAACAAGTACAAATATTTAAGTTAATGTTATTCATGCATAAAAACCAATAAAGTCAAAGTTTTGGCATTCAAACANCCCCCCCCCCCCCCCCGCTCCATCATTGTCTCGAGGAGGGTTGTTATTACCATACAACTTTTTTAGATCTTCTTGGATCGTTGTGAACTTCAAGGCTAGGACTTCAAACTGTTCTTGGAGGCGTCTGTCCTGTTCTTTCAGGATCTCCATTTCACTTTTCTTGGTTGCAGAAGAGCTAGAGCGGCGATGGGTGGATGAGGACTTCAACTTTCTCATCCTACGCTCGTAGTCAACGACTCCTGCATGCGATTCTTCATATTGTGGCCCTGGACTAGTGAGTACCAAATTTCGTCATCGGTGACATCAAGTCCATTCTTTATAGCCTCATCGCAAGAGTATTAAATCGAGCCTACAATAACACAACAAGGTCACCCAACTAGTTATATATTAACACCACAAACAACAACAATTTGAATGAAAACAATAATTACACTACAACACAAACACCAAGAATAATACTTACAATTTATTCCTCAACAACTTTACCCAAGAGCTACATAAAGTAAAAGCAGTAAACAGTACACGAGAATCGTTTACGCAGTTCAAAGCAACTCTCCTACGTCTGCGGTGCCCACGTCTGTGTAACAACCCTTCCACTAAATCACCATAAGAATTACACAACCAATCACAAGAGAACCTTCTAATGTATTGATTTGTCTACTTACGAATGACTTGACGACAAACTCTGTTTGCATCTATCTCCACGGCTTGTTACACCTTCTCAAAGATCTTCTTCAAAGATGTAGATTCTAGTACACCTTCAAACAAAGATTTTGTCTTGATCTACAAAAATATGCAGGGTGATCCGAACCTCATATATCAAGATTGAACCGTTGGAATTCGATCTCCACCGTTCAGATTGAAGCCCCATGAGTTCTTAGATTCCACCTAAAATTCAGCATGATCGGACAAGATTTGGTACTCCAACCATCGACAAAACCAAAGCTGTGTTTTCTGGAAAAACACCAAGGAAAATATGTCGATCGTAACTTCGATAGCACAAGATCCGTAACTCCGATTGACGTGAAAATTGGACACGTTGAAGCCCTATGTGTTGGGAACACTATCTAAAAATTTTAGCAAAATCCAATAGTCGGATTTGTTGTAGTTTTTTCTTTTGATCGAATTTGATGCAGTGTTTTCGTATTTTTGCACTCCAAAACCATAAGGGAGGGAGAATATAATATATGGAATAGAATAACCATGTCAGAGTGTACTTAGAAATCTCAACCATGGCTTCCTTCTCAAGAGTAGTAAACCTAGTTGGATTAGAATTTTCTCTTCAAGCTCTTTCCACTTTCTCTTTCTTCACATGCTAGGACTCTAAGTATAAATAAAACATCTAAAATAATTCTAGATAAATCTATTCGTTTGTCAAAAAAATAATGCCAACACAATATGGAACTAACAGGTGTTGCTGGTGCCTCCCAGCTATTCCATTTTTAAACTTTTCTAGTTTGACTTTCAAGTCAAATATTTCAAAATTTGACTATAAATTGCAACAAAAAATACATTAAATTATGACGTAAGTTTAATTTCAATAAGTTCATTTGAAACATGTATTTGATGCAATAAAATAAAATGAATTTTTAAACTATTTGCACTTCTTTTAAATAAAGATATTGATGGTTAAAGAGTTATATTTTAGATCGTGAATAGTCAAATTAAAAGATTCAAAATAAGGAAAGGGGTATCCAAAATTTGTAAGAAAAAGAGATCTTGAAGATTGCCTGATTTGACATTTACTATGTTTGGCAAAGAAAAAAATGGAGGACTAAAAAATTAAATTATGCTAATTTATTTGGTTAATTTCCATTATCCTAATGGAGTTAAAGATTCAATATTGTTTGACTTTGGAATATAATAAAATAAAATAAAATGACTCTTTAAACTGTTGTACTTTTTGTAAGAGTGAAGTAGCCATTAATGCAACTTTCGACACTCATTATCAGTCATCCGAAAACAACTACTCTATATTTAAAAGATAAGGGTCAGCCTACGTACGTGATTACTTGTAGTCTTTAGGTCCCTTTGAAAACAATCTCTATTTTCAAGTAAACACAAAGTCTACGAACACACTCTCACAAACCCTACTTTTGTGGAATTCAACAAGGGCAAGGTTCCAATGACGAGGGAGGGGAGGTGCGCTCGGGTCGGGCTGAGTTGGAGGGATAAAAACCATCAATTTTTTGAACAGAGTACCGTAGAAAACTCGGGTCATCCCTCAATGTCGTGGGAACTTTGGTGATTCAACAAAGTTGTTATTGTTGTTGATTTATTGGGCTAGAAGAAAAACAAAAATAACAAAGTTGTTATTTTTGGTTAACTTCTATTGTTCGGTTAAACAAAAATTAAGAAAGTATTTATCAAAATAAAAATGTAATTACACCCTTTAAAATAAAATACATGTAGAACGAAATCATTTATTTAATTATTGTAAGTTCATCTAAATAAAAAAAACTACAAAAGTTTAAAAAAAGATGCGAAAAAAATAATTTATTCAAAAATGTTAGGGGTACACCATTTTTAGGGGTACACCATTTGTACACAACCACCCTCCCACCACACACTCCTTGATGTGGATAAGAAGAGTGGAGTGTAGATAAAAAAGGATAAAGCTACTTGTACTCCAAGGGTTTGTATCCCATTTTGCACACTGCAGGTGTGCACCAATATTGTGTGTTGGTGTAATGCTATTTTTTGTTAACGCACTAACACTTTGTGTAAATGTAAATTTTTGTTAATGTATCAACACTTTGTGTCAGTGTAAACCATCAAAATGTTGTATAGAAAATAAGAGGGAAAATATTTCTGTATATTGAATTGGCTTGTTGATTCGTTTTGAATATAAAGATCTAACCCTCTTTATATAAGAAGATGATAAAGTAAACAAGAAAATTTCTATTCCTACTAAAATAAGAATTAAACAAACTAGGAAAGATACTAAATATTAAACCTAATCCAACTAGGAAAGATACTAAATCTAATCCCAAAGGGATTCGGTTTCCTTCTTCAATCCCGCTTCCTATTTCTCTCTCTAACACTTTCCTTCTTCAATCCCGCTTCCTTCTTCTATCTCCAACACTCCCCCTCAAGCTGGAGCATGGGAGTTCAACATGCACAGCTTGGACATCCAAAAAAACGTTCCCTCAGTTCGCGCATCTGCGCAAGCTTCTCTAGCAAGTCCCATGTGCAATTCCTACACGTACAAATTGCGAACTGCTCCAAACTTGCAAGAAACGTTCCCTCGGTTCGCGCATCTGTGCAAGGTTCTCCAGCAGGTCCCACGTGCAATTCTTACACGTACAAATTGAGAACTGCTCCAAAGCTGCAAGAAACGTTCCCTCGGTTCGCGCATCTGCGCAAGCTTCTCCGCCAGGGTCCCACGTGCAATTCCTACACGTACAAATTGGGAACTGCTCCAAACCACAGAAACTGAGCGACGATCGATGGACGCGATGCCGGGCGATCGTGAACAGTAACCGCGATCAAGAGATACTGTCGTCGGGACGGTCGACCCACTCGACCGTTCTTCAGCAACGATCGACTGTTCCGACACTTCGGCAGCAACAACAGGCGACGATTGATGGACGCGATGTCGGTCGATCGTTAACAGTAGACACGGAAAGAGTTGTTTGTCTCCGTAGAACAACCCTTGTCCGATCACTTCTTCAAGAGTGAGGGAGGACAATAAAAAAAATCACATTATCCCGCCGGTAGGCATTGAATTGTGTATACCCACCGGTAGGGGAAGAAGCGTGTTTGAGGTCTCAAGAATTCAAAACTGGCTCTGATATCATGTAGAAAATAAGAGAGAAAATATTTCTGTATATTGAATTGGCTTGTTGATTCGTTTTGAATATAAAGATCTAACACTCTTTATATAGGAAGAGGGTAAAGTAAACAAGGAAATTTCTATTCCTACTAAAATAAGAATTAAACAAACTAGGAAAGATACTAAATACTAAACCTAATCAAACTAGGAAAGATACTAAACCTAATTCCAAAGGTATTCGGTTTCCTTCTTCAATCCTGCTTCCTATTTCTCTTTCTAACACTTTCCTTCTTCAATCCCGCTTCCTTCTTCTATTTCTAACATGTTGGTGTATACTTTTGGTGTAAGTTTGGAGTACAAATTTTGGTGTAAATTTAACATGGTCCTAAAAAAATGTGTGGTGGAGAGATTAGTGTTGTACAAATGGGGTACACTTTTGGTGTACCCCTAAGATTACTCTAATTTATTTTATGAAATGATCAAAGAAAACAAATGAGTAAATAACAAATTATCGGAAGACTCATATAATAAAAATGTAAATCATTTTTAAGCAGGGGACTAATATTTTTGTACGTTGGCCAATGACAAAATCCATAACACCCACTTTAGAGTTACAGAGAGGTTACCAAAACCATCCATCTTCTAGCATTTTAGGAGTATAGATTGTATTACTAGAATCAATGTTATTCGACTTTACATCATTGCATCTGCTTGAACAAAAGTTTACAATATCATAACCACGAGTAACCCGAAAAGAAGCCATTTTTTGACGAATATTTTCAAACACAAAGACACTGTAACACGGACAGGACGTAATATAAGCATACTTTTAAGTGTTCTGGAATTCTAGCAATGGTGAGTCAAAAACTTTCAGAGTACGAGCTAGTTATGACTCAGCGTGTCTTTCTCGTATGATCATCGCTGCCATTATTCAAGTTCATTGTATCTTTAGAAGGCTTCCCACGGATTGTCCACTTGAGTTTATCATCTCCCCATTGTGCTGAAGGCAGATTTTTATGATCATCCATTGTTATCTCCTTTTAAGGAAAAAAAAATGAAAGAGAAGAGGTCTAAGATGTGGACAGCAGAGTAGATAAGATGTAAATCTTGTTGACCATTAAGTGTTGAAGGTTTTACCTCTTCAAATGTCGAAGAATCAGCCTTCCTAGTTAGTGACGATATATACTTTCTAGTCTCGCTAAAAAACTGCAATCCTTGGATGTCTCCATTTTCAATACTGACTTCAAGCTGCAAAAAATGAAATGGCTAATGAGGAAATGAACAGAATCAATTCATCATGATTTTGTGAGAAGATAGAGAACCTGAATGTGGAGAATGCACAAGAGAATACTCGCAATGGGCAGCCAGCTATCTTCAGGTGACAGTGACAGATTCGACCTACAATAATAAGGCGAAGCCAGTTTTACATATTATCCGTGTTGCTAATGGTGGCCACGGTTGTATAGCAGGGAGGATATTGTGGCTGCCACCACAAATTAGTGAGGAATAACTGTTTTTTCCAGTGTATGGTAGTCCAAAGCAGGATTTTGCTATGCATCCATGTGGAAAAGGCATGGAGATAACTCAGAAGACAAGTTATCTGTCATAATAGTAAACCATTAACATATGGAGGATTTTATGTGCAGCTTGAGCCGGGGGTCCCATGGAAACATCCTCTCTACCTTCGGGTATGGGCAAGGTCTGCGTACACACACCCTCCCCAGACCCTACTTTTGTGGGATCCAACTGGGTTGTTGTTGTAACATATGGATGATTTTATTATTCTTATACGACCAAAGACTTGATGTGAGAAGTTGAAAAGAGATTGACAAGCTCGATATGAAAAGCTGACTATAAGCATGAAACAATGAACTTATCACTAATTGTACCTCATTTCACTTGGTAAAAACTAAACCATAAACCCTCTGCTTTCCATCATCAAACACTCTGAGATGATGCTTAGCATGTAATACTCCTTCTTCCCCAATTTATGAAGCTTAATTTGACTAGGCACATAAATTGAAGAAAATAAAAACTTTGTGGTTGCGATTTATGCAAAGGAGAGAGCAATAGCATCAATTTAACACTTTATACAAAACGGAATGGGCGAGATGAATCAGAACCAACCCAAAAAAAGTGAGTAAATTTGAATTGAGGGAGTAAATGATTGATAAATTTACCTCAAGTATGGAGCCAAATAAACAATAGCATACACAGCATATCTCTTCTTCCCTGTATCCAACCAAGCGAAAACCCAACTCTAGCAACAAATGATCAAGAAAAGAAAATCAAGCCTTGTTTGGTTAACAGCAGATTGTGGAGCAACAAGCTCGTTTCTAAGAAACATACAGTATTTCTCAAAAGCCCCCTTACCAGCCAATTGAAATATGGGATGAAGCTAATAATCCCCATGACAGCGAACCTAGCATCGGCCGAGTCGATGACCGAGTCCGATTCATCCTCGTCCGGTGACGGAGAAGCAGGGAACACCAGCGAGCTGAGAACGCACGCGCCGATTGCCAATGCAATAGGCGCGTCCTTGACCAGCTCTGCCTTGCACTTTCCAACACCAAANTAGATAAACTGAAAACCTAAAACGCATAAAAGACGCTAGCTGATTAGAAATTGAGTGAGAATTCCGAGATAAGCACCAGATTGACGCTTTCCCGGCGGCGGCGGAGGGGGATTCTGTGCAGGGAAATAAGGAACGGGGTAAGGGAGGGTTTCAAGGAGAGAGCTTTTGAAGGGAGCGTTGGAGAAGCGGAAGCAGTGAGAGAAATCATGGCTTTGTTTTGTTGAGCGGGCAGAGGAGCAGGTGAGGGTGAAGTAATCTTCCACGCATTTTATCTCTGTGCCTTGCCTTTCTACCTTGCTCATTTCGTTAATAATTAAGCTTTTAGAAAATTAGTATTCTCCCTCCGTCCCTGAAAGAATTTCTTGTTTTAATTAACGTGTAAAACCCCGTAGATTTTAAAATGATTTTATTTGAAAATTGGTAAGGAAATAATACATAATAAAATTATATTTAAAAACTACATCGAAAACTCTACAAAATAAGAGGCGACAAGAATATTTTATTTTATCAAATGATCAATGAAAACACGCAAACAAATTGGAGTTATCGAGAGGCCGTAATAATAAACAGGAAAGACTTTTTGGGACGGAGGGAGTATTTTATTGAAATAACTGGCATCTCTTTGAATTTTCAAAAATATATTAAGTACCTTTACAATAATTTGTTGTAAAGACTAAGAGGGAACATTCTGTCCACTATTCTATTAATGACCTAAAAAATGTATTTTTCTTATTTTTCCCTTAATAATTTATGTTAGTAAAACTTAGGAACTTCACTTTTTGATTTCCTTTTTCTTTATTTTTCTTTTTTCATAAAGTTTTTTTCAATTCTTTATTTAAGTGTTTTTTCAAAATTTGAAAGTTGTTTGTGTAATATAAAAACTAAATGTAATTAAAATGACTACAGTAAAGACAAAATAAGAAAAAAACATTTTTTAACGGCCATTAACGGATTCGTGGACAAAATGTATCATCCCAGTCTTTACAAAAAAATATAAGGATATCTTTTTGAAAGTGCAGGGGGCTACGAGTTATTTCAACAAAAATCATGTCACCCCAAAGTAATTTTAGTTAATAATTAAACTTTTAATTTTTCGATTTTTAAACTCACTCTAGTTTTTTTATATTTTTAAAATTTTATTTTAACTTGTCTCATGCACACATGGTAGAACAAAATTAATTTTTTATTCTACAATGTGGAATATTAAAATGACTTTACTTTTTTATGCGGATTGTGACTACGGTTAAGTGCATTGGGAAGATTATCCCATCTTGGGGCTTGCGCCAGGGTGATTCTATCTCACCGTACCATTTCGTAACGGTAGCGGAAGGGCTACACATAACAGACAACTCCATGGGATAAAATTAATCTAACGGCTCTAGCTATCTCGCACTTATATTTTGTTAATGATACCGTGAATTTTTTCCGGGCAGTTGAGGAAGAGGCCAATACTATTAAGATATGTTTGAGGACATACCATATTGCATCTAGAAAGCTGGTAAATGTACAAAATTCGGAAAGCAGTTTCAGCCAAAATACGTCAAAGATGATGAAATAACTTGTAATGGATATTCTCCAAATCGAGGTGGTTGAAGTAGAGAGAAAAATACCTTGGCTTACCGGCGATTGTGGGAAAGAATAAGATGGAAATTGTTAAGTTTATACAAGATCAAATATGGGCAAGAATTCAGAACTAGAAACATAGAACGTTATCTTGCACAGGCAAAGAAGTACCGATAAAGACGGTCGTCAAGGCTATTCCAAGTTATGTTATGGCATTCTTCTATATTCGACTCTATTTAAAAGGCAGTGAACAGATTTTGGTGGAGTTTAGGTCAAATGGAGAGTCGTGGAATTATATGGATGTCCTAGCTAAGGTTAGGCCGACCAAAAAAGGAAGGCGAATTTAATTAGTTTCTGACAGTTAAATCTATTCAATTTGCATCTTCTAGCAAAGACTGGATGGAACCTTCTTTCAGTCTTTGGTGCACGATGTCTACAAGGCTCAGTACTTTTCCTAACTCTGATTTTTTTCACGCAGGCTGAGGAAGTAACTTGAGTTTTGTTTGGCGATCCATTTAGGAGGGAAGGAGGATCTTGGAGAAGGGGTGTATTTGAAAGATTGGTAGTAGGGAAGAAACACTGATACATCGTAGCCCTAGGTCATGCGAGAAGTCTTTCTTTCATCAAGAGCGTCTTACTTGTGGAGTGGGATAACCGGAAGGTTGCAAATCTCATTGAAAAAGGGCTTCACGCTTGGGACGAAGAGTTACTCCATACACTATTTGGGGACGTGAATGTGCGTGATATTAAGAAAATTCCCTTGATCTTTCATGCATGTGAGGATTGATGTAAGTGGAAGCATGACCAAGATGGAAATTGTTCAGTGAAATACGGATATCATCTCTTAATTAATGAAGTGGAAGGCGAGACTGACCCCGCCAAAGCTTGTGGAATTCTTGTGGAATTTACCAACCCCGCCAAAGCATTGAAACTTCCTTTGGAGGCTGGGAGGGTGTTGAATGATGTGCTACCAGTCCAGGTGAATTTGAGGAGAAGAAGAGTTGAGGTTCCAGAGACTTGCCCTCGCTGTCTTAGCGATACAGAGCTTGTTTCACTGTTGTGCGACGAGCAAAAGACAGAGAGCAAGTAGCAAGAGTGGAAGTGACATTGTGGGACCGTGGAGACAACGTAATCAATTGATCTGGAATAATAAAAACATGTGCCTTTTATTATTAGTAGCTAAAGCACTCCATTAGTGGGAGGTGTGGAAGGAAGCTAATGTGAAGATTCGAGAGGCTCGAAATGGGAAAGGAGCTATGACTACAAGATGGAATCCACGAGATCAAGGTACTTCTAAGTGGAGCATCTTACTTGTGCAGTGGGACAATCGGAAGGTTGCACATCTCATTGAAATAGGGCCTCGCGCTTGGGACAAAAAGTTACTCCATATACTATTTAGGGACGTGAATGTGCATGAAATTATGAAAATTGTAACACCCCGACCCCACCCTAGCCGTAAGTGTCTGCTCATAGGATTGTAGACATGCCCCACAAAGCAACACAAGTCTTTCCCGCACACTTTGTCCTCCTCACTCATGCACGCCCAAGGAAAACTTTTCAGGGGGTCACCCATTCCGATCTTACTACGGGGTATTACAAAAATTCCCTGGAGATTTCATGCAGGTGAGGATCAAGGGATGTGGAAGCATGACCGAGATGGAAATCATTTAGTGAAATAACAATACCATCTCTTCATAAATGAAGTGGAAGGGGAGACTAATCAAGGGGGTCGAGCAAGGAATTGTGGGAATTCATGTAGAATTTACCTGCCCCGCAAAAGCATTGAAACTTCCTTTGGTGGGTGTTGAATGATGTGCTATCGGTGCAGGTGAATTTGAGGAGATGAAGAGTCGAGGTTCCAGAGACTTGCCCTCGTTGTCTTAGCGATACAGAGACTCTTTCACACAGCCTTTTTCTTTTGCAGGTCATTGTTTGCATACCCTAGAAGAGGAAGATGTGCGTCACACAAAGACCCTAGCCCAATGGTTCACTGTTGTGCGACGAGCAAAAGACAGAGAGCAAGTAGTAAAATGGAAGTGACATTATGAGACCGTGGAGACAACGTAATCAATTGATTTGGAATAATAAAAGCATGTGCCTTTCAGCATTAGTAGCTAAACCACTCCATTGGTGGGAGGTGTGGAAGGAAACTATTGTGAAGACTCGAGAGGCTCGAAATGGGAAAGGCGCTACGACGACGAGATGGAATCCATCGGATCAAGGTACTTCTAAGTGGAGCATCTTACTTGTGGAGTGGGACAATCGGAAGGTTGCACATCTCATTGAAATTGGGCCTCGCGCTTGGGACGAAGAGATACTCCATACACCATTTAGGCACGTGGATGTGCATGAAATTATGAAAATTCCCTAGAAATTTCATGCAGGTCAAGATCGAGGGATGTGGAAGCATGACCGAGATGGAAATTATTTGGTGAAATAAGGATACCATTTCTTTATAAATGAAGTGGAAGGGGAAACTAATCAAGGGGGCCGAGCAAGGATTTGTGGGAATTCATGTGGAATTTACCAACCCCGCCAAATGTTTGAAATTTCCATTAGTGGGTGTTGAATGATGTACTACTGGTGTAGGTGAATTTGAGGGGAAGAAGAGTCGAGATTCCAGAGACTTTCCCTCACTGTCTTAGCGTTACAGAGAATGTTTCCCATAACTTTGTTCTTTAGCAGGTCATTGTTTGCATACCCTAAGAGAGGAAGACGTGCGTTACACATAGACCTTAGCCCAATGCTTCAACGTTGTGCGAGGAGAGAAAGAGAAAGCAAGTAGCGAGAGTGGAAGTGACATTGTGGGAACTGTGGGGACAATGTAATCAACTGATCTCGAATAATAAGAACATGCGCCCTCCATCATCAGTAGCTAAAGCACTCCATTGGTGGGAGGTGTGGAAGGAAGATAATGTGAAGAGATTAGAGGCTCGAAATGGGCAAGGAGCTATAGCTACAATATGGAATCGACCAGATCAAGGTAATTCTAATTGGAGCGTCTTACTTGTGGAGTGCGACAACCAGAAGGTTGCACATCTTATTGAACTAGGGCCTCGCGCTTGGGACGAAGAGTTACTTCATAAACTATTAAGGGACGTGCACGAAATTATGAAACTTCCCTTGATTTTTCATGCAGCTGAGGATTGATGGATGTGGAAGCATGACCAAGATGGAAATTATGCAGTGAAATAAGGATACCATCTCTTAATAAATGAAGTGGAAGGGGAGAATAATCAAGGGGGTCGAGCAAGAATTTGTGGGAATTAATGTGGAATTTACCAACCCGCTAAAGGTTTGAAATTTCCTTTGGAGGGTGTTGAATGATGTGCTACCGGTGCAGGTGATTTTGAGGAGAAAAAGAGTCTAGGTTCCAGAGACTTTCCCTCACTATCTTAGTGATACAGAGACTGCTTTCCACAGCCTTGTTCTTTTGCAGGTCATTGTTTGCATACCCTAGGAGAGGAAGACGGTCGTCAACATAGGCCCTAGCCCAATGGTTCAACATTGTGCGACGAGAGAAAGACAGAGAGCAACTAGCAAAGTAATCAATTGATCTTGAATATTAAAAACATGTGCCCTCCAACATCTGTAGCTAAACACAACCTTTTCATTTTCTTCAACATTTTTTAAAGTTTATCATATTTTTTTATACTAATAACTTTATTATAACATAGTATTACCTGTTTATACATTTTCAACCTTCTCTCACTGTTTTTTGTC